ACTGAAGCCAAAGTTTAGAGAACAGAAGTCTTGGGAAAACTTGCTGGTCTTTCTCTCTTTTGGGAGAAACTTAAAAATGAGTTTCACCTGGATGGGAAAGTCCCTAAGGCAAGGACCTGATGAGGAAGTGCAGGGCAGCTTGAGGAAGCTGCTTACACAGAGATGACCGGGAAGCCAAGCTATGGCTGCATCTGAAGCTGTGCTGCCAAATCAGAGACACTCTCTGGGGAAGGAGCCAGGCTGGGACAGGACAGGAAGCTATCCAGGAGAGACGCTCACTTTTCTAGGAAAAGGATCTTTCTGAAACAAATACTTTCGGTTTCCCCCACTGACTTGCCTCCGGCAATAAACTGCAGTCTGAATGTACACAGACAAATGGATGCAAAGCTCAGGAACAAGGTCAGATGAAAGATCTAATTGGAGAGATACATCTATTAAGTGGGGACACAGGCATCCTAATGCAAGCTTTGGAAAGATAAATCTCCTGTTACAAAAAACGAAACCCTGTAAAGAGAACCAGAAGGTTGCTAGCATACCTGAAAGGCTTTCTTGGAAATGCGGTATCAATGCAGGGTTGAAACAGTGCCTTATATTGTCTAATAGCCACTCAAAGAGTTTTTGCTAAGAGCTTTATGGCAGTTCAATATGGTAATTTCACCATCAGCCTGAAGCAAAGCTTTTCAGTCGACTGAAAGTTCTGCTGTAACGGAAACATTTGTCTGAATTGAAGCACTTAGAGGAGCTGTGGTGAATTTGGGTAAAGGGACAGCCTCTAGTTAGAAACCATTTACCATTGAGAGCACATCTCTGCCCATTCTGGAACAGCTGAGAGAGCTCAGGCAGGAAAGGTGACTTTGGGGAGTGGCATTTGTCCCAAGAATGTTGAAGCTCTCTAGGAACAAGTTTTACAACTCCTTAGCAACATTACTCACTAAAATCCCAGTGCTGAAAGAGCCATTGCCAAATTAGACTCTTGTTTCAAACCCTCAAAAACTTTCAGAATAATATCAAAGCTGACTAAATGATTTGCATACTTCTTGTCTTGTTAATAGTTTAGCTAAAAATCTTTTCTAGGTGTTAAGAAATACCTTACAGATGCTTGCTTTAGTGTTAAGTTAGTTCTGTTATGTGTAAAGTGATTATAGTTAAGAGATCTCTTCTAGATGTTAAGGTTTATAAAATAGAAAACTTAGATAAGGTTTATAAAGTATACCTATAGAATGTAAGTTTAAATAAGATGTGTAAGGGCTTAAGTGAAATAAGATTTAGTCAAGGTTTATAAAGTAGTCCTATAGAATGTAAGTTTATTATGTAGGCTTAAGTGAGATTTTGGCACAGCTTATAAGTCATAAATTTAGTTTGAGAAATATAGGTTTAGGGTAGCATAAGCTTTAGACATAAAGATATTGTGAAGGTTTATATAGGCTTTAGGTCTAAGGATATGATGAGGGTTTAATAAAGGGATAAGAATAGGTTTTCCCAACCTGGGACATGGAGAGCAGTGTCCATGGTGGACTGTGGTTCCAGAAAACACCAATAATGGCAAGAAGCAGCTCCCAAGACTGCTAGCTTCAGAAAATAGCGGCCAGGTGTCCATGGCTGAGACCCATGGAACATCATAGCTTCCCAAGCAGCAGATGCCAAGAGCCAGCAAAAGAGCAGTACTAGCAGAAAGGATCTGCAGGCTTTTGGCCATGAAGAGAGACTTGCTTGAACCGAAACCTTTTGGTTATGGGACTTCTTGTATTTGGAGCTGTATACAGACTTAAGAGCAGCTGACAAGCCAGGTCCTGATTTTGAGCTCTCAGGGGAACTTTTAGGAATGGTACCAGAACTCTTTTTGAACTTTCGGACTTAAGAAATGAAATAGACAGTAATGATTTCATTACAATGGGACAGTTTGGATTTACTTATGCATATAGATTCTATCAACAGTGATGACTTATGAACTACTTATGGAACTGTTTATGTAAAAAATGGAACTATTAAAAATGAAACTGTTTAAATAGAGAAATTGAGGTTTTCTAAATATGTTTGAGATTTTATTATTTTATTTTGAATTTATTTATTAAATTTAATTTTACATATCAGCCACGGATTCCCTTGTTCTCCCCCCTCCCATCCACTCCCTCCCCTTCCCCCAGCCCACCTCCCATTCCCATCTCCTCCGGGGCAAAGACTCCCCCGAGGACTGAGTTCAACCTGGTAGATTCAGTCCAGGCAGGTCCAGTCCCCTCCTTCCAGTCTGAGCCAAGTGTCCCTGTATAAGCCCCATGTTCCAAACAGCCAGCTCATGCACTGAGGACAGGACCCGGTCCCACTGTCTGGATGCCTCCCAAACAGATCAAGCCAATCAACTGTCTCACCTATTTAGAGGACCTGATCCAGGTGGGGGCTCCTCAGCTATTGGTTCATAGTTCATGTGTTTCCTTTTGTTTGTATACTTGTCCCTGTGCTTTTTCCAACCTTGGTCTCAACAATTCTCACTCAAACAAACCCTCCTCTTTCTCACCAAATGGACTCCTGGAGCTCTACCTGGGGCCTAGCGGTGGATCTCTGCATCCAGATTCCTCCATCCTTGGATGGGGTTTCTGGCATGACTATTAGGGTGTTTGGCCATCCCATCACCAGAGGAGGTCAGTTCCGGCTGTCTCTCGACCATTGCCAGTCATCTATTGTGGGGGTATTTTGTGGATTTCTGTGGGCCTCTCTAGCACTTTGTTTTTCCTTTTCTCATGTGGTTTTCATTTACCATGGTCTCATATTCCTTGTTCTCCCTCTCTGTGAGAGTTAATAGTCCTCAGTATATTTAATTTAAAAAATATTTTAGTGTTACTTGAGTGAATTAAGGTTGAGAGTAGGTTTGTAGGAATTATAATTGTGTAAGGTTGAGAGTATGATTGTAGGAATTACAATTGTGTAACCTATTGATATTGATGCACCATGGTTTTGTGAACTGAAGGAAGAATTTAAGTTTAAGATGTATACATCAGAAGTTTATCCTATGTTTTGTTAGCAAGAAATTCAAGTGGTTCTAGTATGAGTTTGCTTTGAGATGTAAGATTGAGAAAATTGTAACTATGTATAGCAATACTTATATTAGAATTATGGTAATGTGTTAATGTCAATGATGAAGTTAAGGGGGTCTTTTTAATGTGGTTGCATTAAGAGTTTTTTCTTTTAAAATATAAAGAAGAGTGACCTGTTGTAGCCACCAGGTTTCCAAGTGGCTGTACACAGCAAGACTGCATAAGAAGTTGATTGGACCATGGGCCTGAGTATCAGGTGTTTGTAAGGGTCTACACTTGACTGTAACTAACAAGTGGGAGGTCTTTTGCTCCACCTATTGGCATTGTTATAAATAGAACATTAGAATAAAGTTCTAGGCTGATGGATAAGGATCCAGGCCCACTTGGCTTTATCCTGTGTTTTCTCTCCCCTTTTTATTTCTAACTTGGTCTCTTATCCCTCATTCCTCAAGAGTCCCTAGGGAAAATAAATGTGGGGGGTGGTCTGCCACATGAATCATGTAGTCACTGTTCAAAATAAGTATCTTGTACACATGTGTATGCAGCACCAATTCTCTGCTCCCTCTTCCCAAACTCCATGATCATCAGTTTCATTTCTTAACCAGGATCTGGAATGTGGAGACTCCTTGTGCTGATAAAAACCTTCTCAGAAGGACCACTTTACCCTGAACACCAAAATCCAATTGTCCCTAAGACACTGCAAAGGATTTCTCTCATGCCAAATCCCTGGTATCATGGAGACACCAAGCCAGAGTAATTTGTTTTCCCTCATTATCTTGTTGATCACAGTTTTCAAATCTATTCATAATCCTCCCACCACCATTACAACTTACCATGATAGCTTCTACCTCTGTACACAGAAAAAGGTGCACAGTTACAGTCCGATACTCTTTATTTAACACCACAATTAGAGTTAACAAAAAATGTGCATATGTTGGTAGGGTATTCTAACATCAGAGAAAACAGAAAAAGTCAAAGTTGGGAAGACATGAGCCCCGCGCAAAAGCAGAGTGGATGAATTCAGCCACAGCAGATAGTATTGTGTACTGTTACTATATGTGAAACTAAGCATGCAGTACAGATAGAGGAGCAATAATAAAAGTCTAAATGCATTTATAACTTTCCTACTACTACCTTTAAAGATGTAGAACCAATTAGTAAAAGTTTACATGTCATAATTTGGTTATGTTATTTTATGATATTTATTGAGTACATTGCTATTAGTTAATATTTCTTCATCTATTTCAGTAATATATGAACATGGACATAAACATCTCAAATAGCTTAAGTGTTCACTAATCTATTTTATCAATATGTGGACTGAGCAGGAAAATAAAATCCTCAATTCTACTCATTCCTGTTTCTGCATACACACTATGCAAGCAAGTTTGTTCCTGGGATGTTCCTCAAATTATATATTTAAATATTTGGCCACAAGTTTCATTTGTGATGAAATTTGACTAACTTGTTTTCTTAGTCACTGGTGGATCTGTCATATTGAACTGAGTCTGAATATCCACTTGTCACACATCAACTTCCGACATCCTTCTGTGACATTTAACATAGAATTTCTGTCTGGAACAATGTTGCAGTATATCAATTGTGGAGCCCTTTGATGTCCAAATTTTTCAAATGAGGGGCTTTAATACATGTTGCCTAACATTTTTGCAGATCACAAGCCTTATTCTGAAATAATTCTGTACACAGACCTCTCCTTAGTCTATTTTTAGGCATCTTGTGATTGCAGGAAATGTGATTGTCATATATTTTGTTCTCTAAGTTCAGAACTCAGCTACCTCAGGCCAGCCAAACCAAGGGAAATGGCCGAGGCATTGTCTCTGTAGATTTAGACATGAGGGATCAATTAGAAGAAAAAGAGGAACATCTAAGACTTGCTGATCCAAGATGGTGCATATAAAATACAGCATTTGCTATTCTGCCTTTCATCACTCTAACATGTGAGAAATAGAAGTGAAATCTTCCTTAAGTTTCACTCAAACAAATAACTAGTAAATAAAGATAGTCTGAACAAGCAGGGAGACTATTTCAGGAAAGGAAATTAAATTCTTTCTGATTTCATAATCAATAAGATGAATAGTAAATAATTCTTGAAAAATTCTTTCTAGGAATTTTGATTCACAAAAAAAGGGGAGAAGTGAATTTTGGACTGAGGTAGGACTGTTATGCTGGAAGATGACCTTGTGGTGTGTGTGACAGTCTGTGTGAGCAGAGAGGTGTGTTGAAGCCTTTCCAGGAACAACAGACTGTCATCAGGGAACAATCTCATTGTGAATGTACTTTCTTTCACAAATACAAATACAAGACCTCTGGACAAGGTGAGTCCAGTTGACTGGGGAAGTGTTCTGAAAATATGGTTTTCTTGTCATGAGGAATTATGTTCTCCTGAATGGAGAATGTGAATTTTTATAACCAATTAGAAAAGAAAAAAGGAGCTCAAAATGCAAGAGTGTGCTGTTTTTGAAGGTTGTGACCATAAGTAAGTGATTGAATTTTTCTGGTATTGAGATTTCTCAAATGCTAAGATGTGGAATGGGGCAAAGAAATGGGCTTCTTGAGATCCTAATGTATGCTGAATACAGACAGCTCTTTGAGGTTCACGTCCTGGGTTTCCCAGGGAGTTTTAAGTCTAAGCAGAGACTCTGACTGTCAGTTCCCTCTCTGTTCTTGTGCTCTGCAGATTTCTTGCTAACTATATGTGTTCCTGTTGTGTGTGTACACACTTGGAACTTTGACAAAATTAATCTAGCATTTGGCATTTGTAGCACTCCTGTATGATAGGATTCTTCATGACAAAGCTTTAAACAACCATGCTTTTCATGTCTTCTGGAATAACCAAGGGGCACAGTAACATTAGGTCTTCCTTGAACCACTGTAAGATTTTAAACTTAAAATGTAACCAATACTGGTCTTCGCATATCTCTGGTATGTTAAATAATGTCCAGACCAAATAAAGAATTGTCTGGAAATAAATGAAAGAACTTTGGCTCTGACTCAATGTCTGAAATCCTAAACCTTCAAATCCCAGGTATCTGGCTTCCTAAAAATAGCTGTTTTTAAAATTATCTGCCAAAATGATAGTTTCTAACATTGCAAACAAAATAATTACTAATGTAACTGTTCTCAAAGTGTGTTTATGAACCACAGAGAAGTGATATGAGAGTACAAACCTGTACATTCCTTTCATAGAAATCGAACATGTGGGGCTGGAGAGATGGCTCAGTGATTAACAACTCTGTTCTTCCAGCAGGCCTGGGTTCATTTCCCAGCACCTGCAAGGCACCTCACAACTGTCTGTAACTCCAATGTCTGACATCCTCACATAGACATACATTCAGGGAAAACACCGATGCACATATAATGAAAATAAAAAAAAAAAAGAACAACATGTGAAACGTTAGTTTAGTGCAGATTGTCCAAAGCTGGATATTGGAAACACCTCCTGAGAGGAGGGCTGGAATGCTGCTTGCATTACAGGTAAACCCTTGCTTAGGGAAGTAAAAGCAGGTGCCCATAAGGGGTTCCTCTTTATTCACAAGGCATTGTGCAGAAGATTAGATTTTAAATTGATGCTGTCAGCTCTGTCATTATGGTCAAACTATCATCTCTAACGATAATGTTTTATTCATATCAACAGGCTTGAGAACCTGCTGTAAGTATGTGCTGTGCCAGGGAGTAAATATCAATGAATCATCAACCAGGAGCTAATGCCCAGGTAGGCAACCCACTGTCCTAACACACCTAGGAGTCTGTAGTTTTCTAAGATGTGTGACTCTCTTTTCAAATCCAGACAAGTCACCAGATATTCTTACTCTCTCTAACTAGTCTCCTCTACATGGTCCCCACAGCAGCTCCCTTCTGAACAAGAGCATCCGGTATGAGGTTTAGAAAGGTACCTAAGAACGTATCACTCTCACTGTTATGCCAACTTATCCATATAAGAATCCAAGTTTGTGTGTTTTACACAATTGATCTAACCCTTGCCCTCCTTAATTACATTTCTGCTTGTTTTCATCAACTACCTCTTACCCCAGCCCTGTCCCTTGTTCACAGTTTTGTAAGGAATTCCACAAAGACCTATTTATGTAATACCTGTATAAGACTCTAGAAACAGGGAATGTGTTTTGAAGGCATGAGCTTATCATAGTGGTGATGACTTTTATTTATGTTTTATGTTCACCTATCAAGTGATTTATTTTAAGTGTTTATTTTAAGAAGTAGTAAAAGGACACACAATGGTTGTCATATCATTTTCCTCTGTGCCTAGTAGACCTGTGCACCCACCACGTTCCTACCTACATATGCCTCATTGTCAGCATTGCTTGATTAGATACCTACAAAAGTGTATTCCCATATTTCTGTCACAAGATCTTTTCAAATGTATCTGTGCTTACCACAGACACATGAAATGCCAGGTGACTTGTTACTATAGGTGAATAATTGCCACAAACTACTCTTTGCTGTTCTTTACTTTTGGTCCCTGGGATGTGTATAGTATAAGACCAGCTGATGAAGGATGGCCAGAAACGACAATCTTGCAGATGACAGGGTAACAGAAGACACGGGAAACACAAAGCCTGTACTTAATTATGTTAAATAATGGGCACATGTGGAATTACTAGTAAGAAATGTATTAGCTATCTTATTCCTGTTGCCACATCTTTGAATGGAGAACATGGCCAGTAGTAATTGGGAAGGAATATTCATTTAGATTTCAAAATAAGTGCAACAGAATGATGGTGCTGGAGGAAGGACAATTCAGTGCAAGAATTTATTACAAGCAAATTCCTCTTCATTCTCCTGTCCTATTTCATATGGCAATACATTTCACTTTTAGGTTCCTTTTCAAGAAAGTTAAAACAACACGTTTTCATGGAGAAATGGAATCAGAGCTCAAGTGACTTCATTTTGTTAGGGTTGTTTCCAGAAAATCAAACAGGCCTTCTGCTTTTGCTGCTCATCATCTTTGTCTTCTTTCTGGCCTTCTTTGGCAACTCAACAATGATCCACCTCATTCGTGTGGATCCCAGGCTCCACAGCCCCATGTACATTCTCCTCAGTCAGCTCTCTCTCATGGACCTGATGTATATTTCTTCTACTGTTCCCAAGATGGCTTTTAATTTCCTCTCTGGTCAGAAAAGCATTACCTTCCTGGGCTGTGGAGTGCAATCATTCTTTTTCCTGACTATGGCGTGTTCTGAGGGCTTGCTTCTGGCCTCCATGGCCTATGACCGTTTTGTGGCCATCTGCCACCCTCTTCATTATCCCACTCGCATGAGCAAAATGATGTGTCTGAAGATGATCATAGGATCCTGGATACTGGGCTCAATCAACTCTTTAGCCCATACAGTCTATGCTCTTCATATTCCTTACTGCCATTCTCGGTCCATTAACCATTTCTTCTGTGATGTCCCTGCCATGTTGCCCCTGGCCTGTATGGACACTTGGGTTTATGAGTACATGGTATTTGTGAGCACAAGTCTGTTTCTCCTGTGTCCTTTCCTTGGCATCACAGCTTCCTATGGACGGGTCCTTTTTGCTGTCTTCCATATGCGCTCAAAAGAGGGAAAGAAAAAGGCCTTCACTACGTGTTCAACTCACTTAACTGTGGTGACATTTTACTATGCACCCTTTGTCTATACTTACCTTCGACCTAGGAGTCTCCGTTCCCCGACAGAAGATAAGATTCTGGCTGTCTTCTACACTATCCTCACCCCCATGCTCAACCCCATCATCTACAGCCTGAGGAATAAGGAGGTCCTGGGGGCCATGACAAGAGTCTTTGGGACATTCTCTTCCACAAAAACTTGATCATTTCTTCTCTACTCATCTTTCAGTTTCCCTGGAGAATGTCATAGAGCAGTGCTGTCTATTAGAAATGTAATGTGTGCCACACACATGTCATACCTTTCTGGTGATTCATTACTTTCTAAGATTAAATAATACATTCATTACTATATACTATTACAATTTCCACATGTTTATTTAATTTGTAATGCTATAGTCAATAATATAAGCAGTAAATATTAACAACAAATTGCTATACTATTAGCACATGGTGCACATATACTATGAGTACAAAGATACTTCTGTGTGATACTATTTATGCCAAAGTTGACAAGTTATTTCTAAAAAATTGACATCAAATTATTTCTTTGCTCATACAATTTGCTTTCATTCTTCAAAATCTTTTGTGTGTTGCACATTTACAACCTATTAGAGTTGGGACTACATACATTTCAAGTGACCAATACTCCCATGGGAAACTGTGTTAAAATTGGAGCAACAGCTGGGCAGAAGTGGTGCATGCCTTTAATCCTGGCACCAGGAGGCAAAGGTAGGAGAATCTCTGTGAGTTTGAGGCCAGCCTGGGATATAGAGTGAGTTCCAGGAAAGGCCTCAAAGCTACACAGAGAAACACTGTCTGAAAAAAAAAGAATACCCCCCCCAAAATTGGAGTAACATAGAAGTTATGAAATGTTAAAAGAATGTTAAAACTAACCACTAGAAAGTACTACTTCAACCCAGGTAGAATTGTTCTCATAAAAAAAGAACAATGGTTATCAAATTCTTTTTGATTAGGAAGAATGAAGAACTACTATACACACTTGGTCAAAGTTTGAAATAATGCAGTCCTTATAAAAGACAAATATGGAATCTAGCTATCCTCCTAATGTGCCTAAATTTAAAGAGAACAAATTCAAAGTTTTTAAGAGTTGTATACCCCCACACTTATTCCAGTTCTGTTCTTGTTTACTAGAATAAGTCCTGGTGTGCTGTGCCATAGTGAGATAAATATAGTTAAACATATTGTCACATATCTCAAAGGAGAGAATGTTGAAGATATATATCCTATGAAAGTAGAAAGATTCAGGTGATGTTGGCTAATTACCCTAATTCTACCATCATACAATGTATACATGTATGAAATATACATTATAATCATAAGTAAATACAAGTTTATCTCCACTTAAAACAGTTTTATCATATTGATGTGGTATTTTAGATTGTACTAAATATTGGTGGGATGAGAAGAAATAAAAATGAGAGTATATACTTGATGATTTGGAGAATTCGCATTTGTTCCTTTTATTTGTACCATGATCCTTTGGACTATAATTTACATATGTAGGCCATCTTACCTTTTTTCCCAGATGCATCAAATATCCATGGCCTCTTCTATAATTATAAATATATGTATAATTTCTGATATGTACATGTGTTTCAGACTGATTAATTGTGGCTGGATAACCTATGCATGGTTTGTCACTGGAAAAAAACATTGTCCCTCTCCCAATAGCCATTTCTTCTCTCTAGCTCTTCATCTCAGGATGGAGCCTTGTGAAATTTCATACATCATGTTGCTATGTCAGTTGGTTTGGTTACTATATAATTATCTTTAGGAAATCATGTTTTTGAGATTTCATGGATTGATCATTCTTCTTCTGTCCAGAAGATGCTATTTTTCATCACTTCTGGTCTTCTGGCTCTTATGCCTATATTTCCATGTTTCTGAGCCTTGGGTGTGTTGAAGATGTACCAGTTACAGCTGAGAACCACAGGATTACTTATTCTCTTCATTCTAAACAGTTGTGCATTTCTGTAGTAGCCTCCATCTGCTACTGAAAGGAGCTTTTTCTTTTTTGATTAATTAATTTCTGTAAGATTATAAAAAATTATTTTCCATTCCCTTTCCTCCCTCTTAACTCTCCCATATACCACCCCTTGCTCTCTTTCAAATTCCTGGGCTATTTTCATTAATGTGATGTGATGTGATGTGATGTGATGTGTGTGTGTGTGTGTGTGTGTGTGTGTGTGTGTGTGTGTGTGTGTGTGTTTTCCTAAATAGAACCTGTTAGGTCTGTCTAATGTTACTTGAATGTGCATGTTTTCAGGGCTGAACATTTTCTATTGGATTATAAATCATTGTGCTCTTCCCTGGCTAAGACTGTTTCTCCAGTTCTCAGCATTCCTTAGTTCTTGTGTTCTTTGTCTAGGGTTGAGGCATCATTGGCTTTTTCTCATTGAAATTAGCATGTCTATTGGTATCCTTGTTCAGTTCATGTTTAGACAATCACGTTGTTGAGACTTTATAGGGAAAGATTCTGGCATTCTTGGGAGACAATATCAAACAGAAAACTCCCAGCTCCTCTGACTCTTACATTCTGTCCACCTTTCTTAAACAACTATTTCTTAACCTAAAGTATAAGAATTCTGTTACAGGTCTATCATTGGGACTGTGATCTACAACTCTAAATATTGATGGGTATCATTTTCTGTAATTGTCTGTCTATTGCAAAGAGATGATGAACGGGGAGAACTAGACTTAGTGGTGGTTATGAGAACAAATATTTTGAGCTTAATTAGGGATTGTACTTAGTAAAGTAAAGTGATGGTTGCTGGTTCTTCTTCTATATCCATGACTTCTCCAGTCCTTGTTAGTTATCTAGTTTCCCAGTACCAGTCATTATTTCCCACTTATTGTTGTTGAGTGAGTCTTTACGACAATCAGCTAGCTGTTGGTTACTGCAAAAGTATGCATGCCCCTACTGCATCTTTAGGGTTATCATGCAATAGTGGTCATTATTTTGGTCCATAGGCATCATAGATGTATAGGATTATTTGATAGCTTTCCACCCTTGGAAGCTTGCTTGAATACCTCCTGGAAGCATGAAAACTAGTACTGAGGAAAGAGGCTTTCAGGTCAGGTCAGGCCCTGTTGGTCTGAAGTGAGTGTTGTCTTCAGCAATAGAGACTTATATTCCACCCCTTGCTGTGGGATGTCTTTCTGTACACTGTGAATATGTGTTGCTATGATTGATTAATAAATAAGTTGCTCTGGCCTATGGAAAGTCAGGTTATAGATAGGCAGGAAATCTAAGCAGAGAGACAGAGAGAAGGTCAGAGTTGAGGGAGACGCCAGTCCACCACCCAAGGAGCAACATGCCAGTGAACTGGTAATGCCACAGTGATGTGGCAAAGCATAGATTAATAGAAATGGGTTCATTTAAGATGATAGAGCTAGCTAGCAAGAAACTTAAGCCATTTGCCATACAGTTTGTAACTCATATAAGCCTCTGAGTGATTATTTTATAAGTGGCTTTGGGACCACGGGGCTGTGTGAGACCAGAGAAACTTCTGACTACAACCCCTACAAAGCAAACAAGAACAACAGCAATAGTTTATGATGTTTTGGGAGTCTCTTGGACAACCCTGACCTACAACAGAAAAAGGGCTTTTTGGTGACTGGTGCTGGGTTTTTGTTAAATGGTCTTTAGTTCTTGCAGGAAGCACTGTCAGCTCAGATGAGAAATTTGCATCTAAACTATGTATGTATATTTATATACTGACTTACATGTATTATAGGTACTTTCATGTAAGTAGCCAATAGTTTGATTCCTCATTACTTTCTCAAACATCTTACTCTCATTTTATACTGTCCTCTCCTCTAATTATCTCACTCTATGCCCTCAGTAGAATTCCCCATCTTTCTCAATTTCCTTTTCAGGTAATTTACCCTGCTGTTCCCCTATCTAAACCATTCTAAATGTTCCTAAATCTTCCCCTTCCCTGCAATGGCCCTTTTTTACTTTCTGGATTTTACAACTACTCCATGTTATGTACTCATATCTGAAGACTTTGACCTAAGGGCTTCAGATGAGAGAGAACATGCTATATTTGTCTTCTAGGTGTGTGTTATCTCATTCAATATGATCTGTTCTAGCTCCATGCATTTACCTGCAGAGTTCATGATTACATTTTTCTTTGCTGCTGAATAGCATTCTATGGTGTATATGCACAATATTTCCTTTTTCTTTTCTTTCTTTCTTTTTTTTTGAAGAGAAAAGTGTTTATATTCTTCCACTTCTACATCATAGCCCATCATGAGGGAAGCCAAGGTGAAAATTCAAGCAGGCCAGGAACTGTCATGAAGGAATACATTTTATTGGTTTGCTCAGTCTGCTTTTTTATACAATGGGCTCTCAATCACCAATCATTAATCAAGAGAAATGTCAGAGGGCCCTACAGGGCCATCTGATGGAAGCATTTTCTTAATTGAGGTTCTCTCTTTCCAAATGACTTAAGCTTGTGTCAAGTGGACAAAAACCACTAACCCAGACAGTTGCTAATTGATAACTTCAGATTACATGCATTATGAAATTTTGGGCTCAGTGTGCTGGGCTCTGCTAAATCCCCATGAGAGACCTTGATTTGGGGGATGTGGACATGTGGGGTGGCTTGGGAGGGAGGCCTGCTGGGTGGGAGGAGATGGTATGTAGAGTGAGTAGAAAATTTCTTAACAAATAATTTTAAAAAAGAAGCTTTTGATAACAAAGCAAGAGCATTTGCTAACAACAAGAAAAAAATATTCATCATACAAAACCCATGAAAACTTCTTGGTGGGCTACATTCAAATGCACATTTTGAATTTTTTAAAAGTAAAGATAAAAGTCTGCCTAATTAAATAAGAAAATATCATCATTTGAACATAATAATAGAATACATTTACAAACCTGACAAAATGAAAACAAAAATCAAAAACTTTCCCATTGTCATTAGATTTATCCATTCAAGCAAGAAAATATCAATCAGATGAACTCAGAAAAAGTGAATGAAAAGAACAGTAACAGAAAGCATTCCTCTGTTCCAACATGAAGGAACACATTCATATCAGTTTGTGTGTGTGTGTGTGTGTGGTTTTTTTTTTTTTTTTGAGACAGGGTTTCTCTGAGTAGTTTTTCACCTTTCCTGGATCTCACTCTGTAGACCAGGCTAGCCTCGAACTCACAAAGATCCACCTGCCTCTGCCTCCCAAGTGCTGGGATTAAAGGCGTGCGCCACTACCGCCCGGCATCATGTTTTTAATTGGAAAAAAAATCACAATTAGAATTCCTTCCCCTTGCTCTCCTGTACTGATAATTAGGTTTCCTTAGTTTGTTATCTCTTGCAAGTATTTTGTGTCTATTTGGTTTTGTAAAATTTCATAGTGCACAATATTTTCATTATCTATTTGTCAGGTGAAATACATTTAGGTTGTTTGCATTACCAAGCTATTGTAAATAAAGTATCACTCGGGGATTTCTTGCTATTCTAATTAAGTTCTTTGATTTGATTATGTTTTCTTTTAATAATCTTGAATTCTTTAATGAAATTTATGATTTTTCTTATATGCTCTGTGTACAAGGTTTCATCTAGGCAATTCTCTCTTTGGAGAAAATTTCTATAGGATTGATGAATTTAGGGGGAGATATAGTCTTGGTCTTTGATATTTTCAGAGCATTTGTGGTAAGAGCTGGGTATTTGTGGTAAGAGCTGGGTTCTTCTTTACTGCTTATGT